CCATTCTATAATATTACCCCCATCTAACTGCAATTTTGGCAAATTGGTATAATTTGCCCCAGAAATGTTAGTAAGGTTACTTACTGGGGGGAGCTGTCCATGGTCCAAAATGTGATTAAACTCACAATAAGGCTTTGGGATGTCTGTGGCCATTCTGTACTTGCTTGGATCTATGTAACTTGCTTCTCTTGTTACAGGCAGGTACTGGGCATGCGCGAAACTCATTCCGCGCTGGAGTCCATCGGGTGAGGTTCCTGTTGCTGGAGCTCCCAGGCCTAGGCCTAGGCCTGTCGGTGGGAGGCTAGACCCACCCCCGGTCCGAAGATTCCTCCTGAAGGTGGACACCACTGCTGGATGGCCGGATCCCCGGCGAAGAAGGACAGAAGGTGAGGAGGCGACGCGGTCGCAAGTCGAGGACTTTCGCGGGGCGGCGGGGCGGCAGCAGCGGAGGTCGTAGGTTGAGGATTCCCTGCACCCAGCGGCTCGGCGGTAATGGCGGCGGCGGATCCTCCCTCGTGGTCGCTGGTCCCTGGTCGCGTGGACTGGCCTGATGGATGTCGTGGCCTTGGTGAGTAGCCGGTTCTTCTCTTCTCCCTCGGGCCTCGCGTTGTTGGTGTAGCGGGTGGCGAGTTCGAGTCCTGCGGTTGATTCTTCCTGCAGGTGGGCGGTCTTTTGTGCCGGTTGTTGGTGTGCGCGGTGTTTTTAGTTGGCTGTGACTCGGTTGCCTGGTCTTTGTTGGTTGTCCTGGCCTTCTTGTGCTTTCCAGGATTTTTCTTTGATTTATTGAGTGCCGCAGGAGGCTCGAAAGCGGAGCCTAGGGCAGCGGTGATGGTCTCGATTGCCTTTTGCAACTCGAGATCGGTAGGCGTTTTTTTTTTTAGTTATTGTGATCTCTTCGTGGTCGCTTTCAGAGTCGGGCTCTTCGTAGTCGCTTTCTGAGTCCCCCTCGTTTGTTTCGGGGTTCGGGCATTTTCGCGCCAAGGGATTCAAATCCTGGCTTCCCATTGGCTGGTGCCCGTCCCAAGATGGCTGCCGGGAAGGGGGCGCGAAAATGGGTTCTGCCAGCTCAGGATCATCGGGTTGGGGTGGCTTACCCTTTTCTGCTTGCTTTTCTCCCTCGGTGGTCTTTGGGGCTTCAATCGCTGCTTCTTGTTGCTCGAAGAGGCTTTGAAGGTCCGCGATGAGGTTTTCTTTGTCGCTGCTTGCCTCCATCAGTTTCAGGATGGAGAGTTTGAATTTATTCATTTTCTGTGCTGTTTCTTCTTCCGGAGCGGTTATTTCCTTGGATGGCTCCTCTTCATCTGATTGTGAGTCCAGGCTGGAGTTCTGCTCGCTTCCAGCTTCTGTCTCCTCCATGGCTGTGGCTTTGGTTGCAAGTTTCTCAGCCATCTTCTTGGTAAGAGCTCTGGTCTGTGCTCTGTTTGCTTCTTCAGGGTAGGTGTTGGGTTCAGTCATTGTCTGGAGTTATGGGCAACCGACCTCTGCTACCATTTTGTTAAAAGCTGGATCTAGCCCAATAACTCAGAGACAGACTCCAATTCTTTTCTGTAGCTTTATTATTGATCTGGTGGTACTAGAGGTCACTGACCTTGTACCTTTCTCTTTCAGGTATACATCTGGAATAATCTGTGGACCATGTGGTAGGACCTTTTGTACCCAGGAGGAGGGGCAAAGAGGTAAGGAGTGGTTACAGGGATTATGGGATATGTGGTTAGTTAACCCTTGAAGGTCCGGGTGATCAGGGAGACATAGTAGTTAGGCATTTATCATGACATGTCTCCCCTGATCCTTCTCTTCACTAGACTAGCCATGCCCAGTTCCTGTAACCGTTCATCGTATGTTTTAGCCTCCAGTCCCCTAATCATCCTGGTTGCTCTCCTCTACACTTTTTCTAGAGTCTCAACATCTTTTTTTATAGTGTGATCAAAACTGGATGCAGTACTCTAGGTGTAGTCTTACTAAGGCTTTATAGAGTGGTATTAGTACCTCCCTTGATCTTGATTGTATCCCTCTGTTAATGCAGTTTAGGATTGCATTGGCTTTTTTGGCTGCCGCTGCACACTTTTGGCTCATATTTAGCTGGTTGTCCACTAAGACTCCAAGATCCCTCTCACAGTTACTATTAAACCTGGTTTCACCCAATCTATATGTGTACTTTGGGTTTTTCTTACCTAAAGTAAGATTTTATTGTAAATAAAATTATGATTTTATTGTACTTGTTTCTTAACTTGTGTTCGCCACCCTGAGTCCTTCGAGAGAATGGTGGCATATAAATACATGTAATAAATAAATAAATAAATAAATAAATAAATAAATAAATAAATAAATAAAGTGTAAGACTACTTTTCTCCACGTTGAATTTCGTTTTGTTAGAGAGGGCCCACTGTTCAAGTCTGTCAAGATCCATCTGAATTCTTTAGCTTATTTTCTAGGACAGGAGTTCCCAAAACTTGGCAGCTTTAAGACTTGTGGACTTCCAACTCCCAGAATTCTCCAGCCATGCAGAAATCTGGGAGCTGAAGTCCACAAGTCTTAAAGCTGCCAAGTTTGAAGCCCTCTGGCTTAGATCTATTCACCTGGATGGCTCAAATGTCTATTTTTTCACTATTGTACACCGAGTGCATATACACCAAAGACAAATTCCTTGTGTGTCCTATCACATTTGGCCAATAATAAAGAATTCTATTCTGAGAAAGATGTTTTGTATATGCATCATGTAACCTTAATGCTTTTGTAGAGGAAATGTTAAAAAAGGATCTCAGGATCCTGTTTCAACTTAGCAAGTTGAGGCAAGTTCTATAATTGCAATTATGGCTTAAGAAAGATGCATTTTTAAAAAATATGTATCTTAATGCTTTTGTGGAGAAAATTAAAAAAATAATAATAAAGGATTTTAGGATCCCATTTGGCTTAGCAAGTTGAGACAAGTTCTTTCTAGGGCGTTCTCTATTCCTGCCAGCTTAGTATCATCTGTAAATTTGGTAAGTTCCCCTTGTATTCCCTCATCTAAAAGAAAAAAAAAATCTTCAAAAAGCAAAAAAGCAAAAATAAAAGTCCATTTGCCTCCTGGGGCATAAACGAGGATGATTTGACAACCTGCATAGATCTTGAGAGAAGTCCCTTCCCTGTTATAACTTTCCTGTTAAGTCAAACCTTGTTAAAAGAATCATTTGGCAAAATGTTTTCCGGCCCAATGAGCAAATATTTCAAGCAACAATTTTATGATGTTTGTGTATCTATATTTTTCTTGACTGTACACCGCCTTGAGTCCTACGGGAGAAAGGCAGTATAGAAATATAATAAATAAAATAAAAATAAATAAACCCACGTTGCACTTCTTAAGAACACAAAAGCAAAGCCATTGGGGGCCATTCCCTTCGATTTAAAGGATCGACTAATTTTTCCCTGCCTATCTTGGTTAATTATGCCCAGTTGTTTTTTTTGGTGGGTTTTTTTTTTTTTGGCCCAATGAGACTAACTAGATCAGGGGGTCTTTCAAACTTGGCAGCTTTTAAGACTTGTGGACTTCACCTCCAAGAATTCTCCAGCCAGCATAAGATAGCATAGCATAGCATAGCATAGCATAGCATAGCATAGCATAGCATAGCATAGCATAGCATAGCATAGCATAGCATAGCATAGCTGGCAGGCTGGCGAATTCTGGGAGTTGAAGTCCCCATGTCTTAAAAGCTGCCAAGTTTTGAAGAGCTCTGAACTAGGGGAACAACTTGAATTGTCAAGAATTTGCTACGGCATAATTTACACCTAAGGCACCTAATAAGTGTTTTCCTATTAATTTAATACGACTTCTGCCACCAATAGCCTCCCACCGGCCAGTCCGCTCCCACAGAGAGGGTCTCCTCAGGGTGCCATTGGCCAAGTTATGTTGGCTGGCGACACCCAGGGGGAGGGCCTTCTCTGTGGGAGCCCCAGCCCTGTGGAACGAACTGCCCCCGGAAATGGGCAAGATCTCCGACCTCCGGGTATTTCGTTGTGCACTCAAGATCCTGTTGTTCCGCCAGGCTGGGCTATCAACATAACAATGTTTTATAGATGGCATTTAGATCCTAAGAAATTGTCATGCATGTACCCTAATGTTTAGCCAAAATGTTGGAGATGTGATTGTTTAGATGCTACATATTATCATGTCTGGTGGACTTGTAAGAAAGTTAAGGCTTTCTGGATAAAAATTTGGTGGGTTATGCAGAATGTTTTGAAGAAAAAAATTCAATTCTCTCCACAATTGTTTTTACTGGGTATAGTTAAGGGTTTTACATTGGGTGAAACAAAGTTGATATTGTATATGATAACAGCAGCGAGATTATTGATAGGTAAATATTGGAAAAATGAAGCTTTGCCCACTATCGAGGAATGGACTTTGAAGATGGCCAGCTTTGCAGAGATGGCGAAGATTTCAGCATACTTAAAAGATTGCTCACAAGAGACTTATGAATGGGAATGGAAAAAGTGGATAGATTATGTGCAGAATAAATATCAAACCAGGAAGTATCAAATAGCTTTTAATTGAAAATGTTAGAAATATTTTAACTTTGTGAAGATGAAAAATTATATGGGGGATGGAGGGGTTCAAGTTTTATAAAAAGGGTTTTTTTTTTGTTTTGTTTTTTGATGTGAGCATATTCTGTGGAAGTCCGGGGGGGGGAGGGGAGGGGGAGGTTGGGGAGTTTGGGGTGGGTTGAAGGGGGGGGGAAATGGGGTGAAAATGTAATTGTAAAACTTTTGCAATAAAAAACATAACAATTTTAAATTGGGTTTTAAATTCCTGGGATTTTAAATTGAGCCGAATTCATTTAATAATTTTAAAACTATTTTAACTGATGTTGTCTTGTGTTTTTAATAGGCTGTACACCACCCTGGGAGAAGGGCGGTATAGAAATAAAATTATTCTATTCTATTCTATTTAATAAGATTTCAGTGTTTGCTAGGAATGCTTTGGTTGCTACCTATACAAGCCAGTGGAATCTGAACAATTTTGCAAATTTTTCCAAGTGAAGCAGCTCTTTTTTATTTGATAAAGTGGGTGGCTCTTAAAAGAGCCTTTGGTGCAATATAAAAAGGGAATTTTGGGTGGGTGGGTGGAGAAGCTACTTGGAGCTGGTGTATTTGGTGACGGCTTTGGTACCCTCGGAGACGGCGTGTTTGGCCAGCTCTCCGGGCAGGAGGAGGCGGACAGCCGTCTGGACCTCGCGGGAGGTGATGGTGGAGCGCTTGTTGTAGTGGGCCAAGCGGGAAGCCTCGGCAGCGATGCGCTCAAAGATGTCGTTGACGAAGGAGTTCATGATGCTCATGGCCTTGGAGGAGATGCCGGTGTCTGGGTGGACTTGCTTCAACACCTTGTAGACATAGATGGAGTAGCTCTCCTTGCGGCTCTTCTTGCGCTTCTTGTCCCCTTTCTTCTGGGTCTTGGTGATGGCCTTTTTGGAGCCCTTTTTGGGTACCGGAGCAGATTTAGCCGGTTCAGGCATCCTGGTCAGCGAGCCAGCGAGCGAGCGACCTCCTTGGAAGAGAGATGAAAAAAAAGTGAATGGAAAACCAATACCTTTCCTTTATTTATAGGGCGCGTATGCAAATGAGCGGTTTCAAAATCCTCAGCCGCCATTGGTGGAAAAGCGCCCTCCCTCGACGCTATTGGAAGAGAAGCCACGGAGTTTCAAATTTTTTTTATCGAAGCCGGGCGTTCCCATTGGTGCTTTCCGCTTGAACGTCTGATTGGCTTCAATTTGAGAAATAGCGGCTGCTTATTGGCTAGAAGGGCCAACGAGCCATCTCGTAGTAATAATACCTTTTTACCTGTTTTGTTTAGGATTTTTTTTTTCTTTTCTTTTGCAGAAGGCTGAAGATTTTAAGCGTCCCTCCCCCCCCCCCCTTCCCTATTTTCTTTCCTGCGTGCATCCTACATACAGGCACGATCGGTGAAATACAAATTATTTGAAGATAATTTATGCTACAATTAAATGAACTTTAGGAAAATTTCTCCGAGGGGGGGAAAAAGAGTTTTTAAGATGTCAAATGACAAGGGAAAAAGAGAATGTTTTCGAACGAGCCGAAATAGCTCAGTTGGGAGAGCGTTAGACTGAAGATCTAAAGGTCCCTGGTTCGATCCCGGGTTTCGGCAGGGATGTTTCCTTTTATTTGAAAGGGTTTTTTTCAATCTCTGTTCGCCCGAATCGTCTAACTAACCTAGTCACGTTACACTAAAGCTACCTTTGATACCCTTGTTGGTTGTTAGGCAGAAGCCATTCCCCTTGAACGTTGCAGTTTCACTCCGCAAAATAATGCAATGGGGAAGATATTCTTAAAATTGCATTTTCTGGGGTTGTTAAAATTGAGGTTTTGAATTTGGGTTTAAGCCTTGGCCTGTGACTATTGCAGGAACTTATGATTCTAATTTAAATCTTTGTAAAAAAAAAAACCCTTTGATACTATTGTTAAGCAGAAGCCATTCGCTTGAATGTTAGAGTTTCACTCCGCAAAAGAACAGCCAAAAACAGTATGAAAGCAATCCCTAACTGCCCGATTTACCTATAATTTAACCTCTATAGTTCTTTTTAAAAAAAATGTTATCCTAGAAATGTCGGTTTATTCATATAAAATATACTGCTCAAAAAAATAAAGGGAACCCAAGCAGAAGACATCCGAGATCTGAATGAATGAAATAGCCTTATTAAATACTTTCTTTACATACAGTAGTTTATACACTGCTCAAACAATTAGAGGGAACCCAAAACTACTCTATGTAACGAACAAAGTACTTAATAAGGCTATTTCATTCATTCAGATCTTGGATGTCTCCTGCTTGTGTTCCCTTTATTTTTTTGAGCAGTGTAGTAAAAAAAACTCAGCACCGATACGCTTTTTCCAGCACGGGCCAATTAAGGGAAACGACGCGAAAAACTCTTTAAATATGTTGAATTATGTAAATGTGAATTTACGTATTTATATTTACATATATTTTAGAGTAAAGCACCCATAACGAAGTTAGCGTAGAAATAAAAAGCTGAAAAAGACTTAAGTCTGCCTTTTATTTTTTATTTATTCACCCTTCTTAATACCAAAGGTTTCCTTTTGAAATTTAAATCGTGACCAACAAGCTTCTTTTAAAGAAAATTTGATTGGCCCTTAAAAGGGCCTTTTGTTGTTGAAGTTGAAAAAAGTTTTCGAAGGTTTTAACCGCCGAAGCCGTAGAGAGTGCGGCCCTGGCGCTTCAAGGCGTAGACCACGTCCATGGCGGTGACCGTCTTCCTCTTGGCGTGCTCGGTGTAGGTGACAGCATCGCGAATCACGTTTTCCAAGAAAACCTTCAGGACGCCGCGAGTCTCTTCGTAGATCAAGCCCGAAATACGCTTCACGCCTCCGCGACGAGCCAAACGGCGGATCGCCGGCTTGGTGATGCCCTGGATGTTGTCGCGAAGGACTTTCCGGTGCCTCTTGGCGCCTCCTTTCCCCAAGCCTTTGCCTCCTTTTCCGCGTCCAGACATCCCGGCGAAATAGAAGAGCAGAGAGAAAAAAACTCGCCCAGCTCCACCAGCTTAGAGAGAAAAGTGTTCGGCTGCTGAACGGGCGGCCGGTTTATATAGCGAGGGATCCGACCAGAGGGAAAACTTGGAAGCTAAAGCTCTGGCCATTGTTATTTTGCATAATAAAGGCTAATCCAATCCAGGCTGCGCAGCGCGATTCAAACTAGCCAATCAGCGTACGGTTAGACTTCAAGCCGAGAAAGGCTTCTCGGCGCCGTTGTTAGCTTCCCGGGAGTTGTTTAGAATCTTTTTAAAGTATATAAATTAAGCTTTCGCACCTATATAAATGTAAATGCTAAAGCTTGATTCGCTAGAACGTTTGTCTTTCCATTTTTATTCTTTGTGGAACGTCCCTCAATGAAATTGTGCTCTTAAAAGTATTTATTTATTTATATCTGTATATCTAGAATTGATAGCTTATTAGTAACTTTGACTGTCTTTAGGAGTTGTATCTTTTTATTCTTGATGAATGTATTTTATTCTCCTTATCTACACTGAGAGCATATACACCTAAGACAAATTCCTTGTGTGTTCAATCATACCAATAGAGAATTCTATTTTCTATTCCCCACCCCCTTGTTTGAATTAACAAGCCCCACATTCAAAAAGTGTTGGATGTAAAATTTAGCCTCCCAGAAATTAATGGACTTCAAAGTGACCTAATCTCATCGATTTTTCGTTACTGTATATACAGTATATACTCCCCCCTCCCTTAATACTCTTAAACGGAAGGTCTGAAATAGCATATCAAACAATTACTTTTGGGCAACGAATAAAGACAGAATATTTGGGCGTGTAGATAAAGATGTATGAACTCAAAAGCCAAAGATCTTAGCCTTTAATGTATGGAATTGACAGCTGCAGAATGAAACTTTCTGCTAGTCGTTCAAATGGAGGCCCGACTATTTTGGGACAATCGGTAAAGGAAAAGAAAAGGCAAATTTCCGCAGTAGAAGTCAGAGAAATGAAAAATGGGTCATTTCTAGATAAACATACTTAGAGTTGAAATGAATGTGAAACTACATACATTTGACTTCTTTCCAACCTGTCTGAGAAATATTGCTTATTATATCATATATTATTGTCTTTTTATGTACACTGAGAGCATATACACCAAAGACAAATTCCTTGGGTGTCCAATCACACTTGGCCAATAAAAAATTCTATTCTATTCTATTCTATTCTATTCTATTCTATTCTATTCTATTCTATTCTATTCTATTCTATTCTATTCTATTCTATTCTATTCTATTCCATTTCCATTCCATTCATTTTCTATTCTATTTTATTCTACTCTACCCTACCCTACCCTACCCTACCCTACCCTACCCTATCCTATCCTATCCTATCCTATCCTATCCTATCCTATCCTATCCTATCCTATCCCATCCCATCCCATCCCATCCCATCCCATCCCATCCCATCCCATCCCATTCCATTCCATTCCATTCCATTCCATATTTTCTATTCTATTCTATTTTATTCTACTCTACTCTACCCTACTCTACCCTACCCTATCCTATTCCATTCCACTCCATTCCATATTTTCTATTCTATTTTACTCTACTCTACTCTATCCTATTCCATTCCATTCCATTCCATTCCATTCCATATTTTCTATTCTATTTTATTCTACTCTACTCTACTCTACTCTATCCTACCCTACCCTACCCTACCCTATTCCATTCCATTCCATTCCATTTCATATTTTCTATTCTATTTTACTCTACTCTACTCTACTCTACTCTACCCTACCCTATTCCATTCCATTCCATTCCATATTTTCTATTCTATTTTACTCTACTCTTCTCTACTCTATCCTATTCCATTCCATTCCATTCCATATTTTCTATTCTAGTCTACTCTACTCTATTCTATCAATTAGATAAATGCACAAACTATCAATCTGGTTCAGGAGAACACATACAGGTAGTTTTTGACTTAGAACTATTTGCTTAGTGACCGTTCCAAGTTACAACGGCACTGAAGAAAGTGACTTACTGTACGACCGTATTTCACACTTATAACCATTGCAAGCATCCCCATGGCCATGTGATCAAAATTCAGCCGCTTCCCAACTGGCTCATATTTATGACGGTTGCAGTGTCCCGGGGTCACATGATCCGCTTTTGCGACCTTCTGACGAGCAAAGTCTACAGGAAGCCAGATTCACTGAACAACTAACTGCCTTTGCTAACTTAACAACTGCGGTGGTTCATTTAAAAAGTGTACAAAAAAGATAATTAAATGAAGCAAAACTCAATGTGCTCACTGCCGGGTTCTGATGGATGCCCTAATTAAACCATGAGCCTCGAGCCAAGCTTCAAAAGAAATCCAGCTATTTATTAGGAGCTTCATGTCGGCACGTTCCAGGTGAAGCCAACTCTGACCCCATGTGATTTATGCCCCAATCATGAATCTGTTTCCCCCTCCCGCCCAGGGTATGTCATCAATCACATTCGCCAACAGAGGAATTTTACTGATTGTAAAGATCACTCTCCTCCAGCCGCTGTGGGTAATCCTGAGAGACAGCCTTGAGAGAGAGATGTCTGGAATGTGCTTTTGGTTTTGGCTGCTGTGCTGCTTCGTCGGTTTCCCATCCCCCTTGCCTATGGCAACTCAAGAACAGGCCAGGGATGCTTTGCGAGTTGATGCTCATTTAGCAAAAACATTGGGCTCAGTTGTGCTCGTAAGTCGATGGCTACGTGCACTGGGAGCTGTAACTTCTGATTTTCGTCAAAGCAAGCCACTTTTAGTAATCATTATGCTGGATGTCATCTCACCATCACTCGCCATGGTTTTCCCACTGATTTCGCTTGTCAGGAGGTCAGTCTGGCTTCTCATCCTACCTATTACCTATTTCCTTTTCTACTTATGACTATAATCTTGTGGCTTGTTATCTTTACAATTTATATTGTTTTATTTAGTTTCCTAGTATGATTTCGATTGCTTTATGTACAGTAGTGGCCAAAATTGTGGAAACCTTAGGGGAAAAGTGTATTTTCT